GAAATGGGGACAATCAAAATATAACATTTTTCGTTCCAACTTTAAGCTTTCAAATATGTCTTAATATACTCATGACTTTCATTGCTCTGGTTCACCTTCCACCTTCTTTTTTTTAATATATTTTATTGATTTTTTACAGAGAGGAAGGGAGAGAGATAGAGAGAGTCAGACACATCGATGAGAGAGAAACATCGATGATCTGCCTCCTGCATACCCCCCACTGGGGATGTACCCGCAACCAAGGCACATGCCCTTGACCAGAATCGAACCCGGGACCCCTCAGTCCGCAGGCCGATGCTCTATCCACTGAGCCAAACCGGTTAGGGCCCACCTTCTTTTATTTTTGATACTTTGGCTATCGAAAGCTTCCGCCCTCATTCACAGCAGGCCTGTACATGGTATGTATTTGCCACATCAACAATTGAAAGATGGCAGCTGACATATGACTTTAAGAGCACATGTGCTCAGCCTGGCCAGCCAGTGTGGCTCAGTTGATTGAGCATTGTCCCTTGCACCAGGAGGTCGCTGGTTCGATTCCAGGTCAGGGCACATGGCTGGGTTGGGTTGTGGGCTAGAACCCCAGTAGGGGGCATGCAGAAAACAGCTGTCTCATCATTGTTTCTATCTCTCTCTCCTTCTCCCTTCCTCTCTCTGAAATCAATAAAAACACATTTTAAAATAAGTACATGTGCTCTACCATGGCAGCAGTTTTGGTTGGTGTTGGTATTGAGTTTTGAGCAACTTGGATATTATCTCTGATCATAGTGCTAAACCTCAGCATTTTATACATTGTTATTAATAATTTTGAAGTCTAGAAGATAGCAAAATTTGGCTCTAAAAATAGTAGACTTCAGGCAAGTAATAATTATAATAAAAACTGAAATGCGAGTCTCCCTCTTATATACTTAAGGCTGTTAATGTTCGTGGTCATAGAATGTATTATTATATTACAGGTGTGGGATGAGCATTTAAAATAACTTCTGGTAGAAAAAATTCTAGTGTATACTTTATAGCACTGCTTCTCAACATAGTGCTTTATTAAAATCACTTGATATATTCAACGAAAATGCAGATTCTTGGGACCCACCCTCATAGAGTCTGGTTTGGTAGGTCTTGGGTGAGATGAGAGTTCACATATTCAGTAAGCCCCCAAAGGTGACTCATATTTGCACTACAGTTTGAGGGCCGTTGTTTTATATTTGGCTGTACTTTTCACTTTAGCAACTGAACAATGAAAATAGTTCAAATAATGTTGACTGGAACTTTATTTTTGAGTGCTATATATATATATTTTTTTCCTCCATCACTATCTCCCCACCCCGCCCCCCATACCCTCTTCCATCTCCACCCTTTTTCCCATCTAATTGGAACTTCTAACATGCAACTGCTCCCCAACCCCAAAGCTTCCTCATTAATTGGTGCATTTCCTGTCATAAGTAGCATTCAAGTAAATAGGCTGGCTGCTTTGCATGGATTTGAAGAAGAGTTCTACTTTTAGTGGGAGCTTGATAGGATGGTCTCTAGAATACACCCAAATGTTTTGTTGGATTAAGAATGTATTAATTTGCGCTTGACATCTTGGTCTGCTTTCTGTATCATTTATTAGATAGGCTTCTATACCCTGCTAACCAGGACTTAGCTCTTCCTAATTATTTTCTGTGTCTGTATCTGTGTCTTTCTTCTTTTTACGACTCTTTCTGTCTCTGAAACTCTCTCTCTCTTGGTCTGTGTCTTGTCTTGTTAAATGTTTTATTATTTTTATGGAAAGCCTGAAGCACGAGAGAGAGAGAGAGAGAGCCATTTCAGGGAAGTGTCTTGGCGAAGACAGATTTCCATGGCAGTGAGAAGACACTTGTGCAATCATAGGTATGGTGTTTCTCCCCAACCTCACTCCCACTTTGGATGAAACAACTGAATAATTGTGATCTGTCTCCAAACATACGAAAACCAATGTGTAATTGCACAATCCCATGGGCACTCAATCCATCCAGAGGGCTGTCTGACATCTGCCAGGACTGGTGCAGGGAAGGAATTAGAGGCAAGATTATTTGGTTGGTTTGGCTCCTTATCAGAAGGAAGGCTGGAGTTCAGCCTAGGTAGTTATCCCAACTGATCACACCCTGAAATGTGCTGAGTCCTGCCTCCCTCTTCCTGTTAACTCTTTCCCGACCTACTGTGGTCAGAGACCTCACTCACCTATGCCTTAAGGAAGGTTCTGTTCTTCCTTTTCATTAAGGATGATGTCCTCTGGTGTACCTTCTTTATGAATTTAAGGGACTGCATTTTTTGTAGATTGAGTTTAGAGACGGTACATGAGCTCATGATTGACCTCTTGTCTATGAACTGGGGAAATGAGAATTGCAATCAAATATTAGAAAGCAGGAAAAAAGCATCTTTATCTCACTTAAATTTTCATTACCACCTATGAGTGGCATTTAAATAGCCTGAGCCCAGGTATGAGGTGAAATGTACCTAAGGTAGGTAGGTCTACTCAGAGGTCATCACGGTTCCTGTTTGTTTCCATGTATTTGCTTGCTAATATAGAAGAAAAAAAATTTTTTTTCCCTAGGCTGTGCACTCTCTGTAGTTACTTGTAATGCATGTTTATTTGCAGAACATAGTGTACCGCAGAGGCCAAATCAAAGTCCATTATAACTGAATATGTTACATAGTCCTACCTGTATTTCTTGATCATTTTGCACATCTTTAGTAACAGAACATTGGAACTGTTGGAACCACGGCAGCTGTTAAGACCACTTAGGGAGAGATGACATCTTTCCTAACAGCCTGGCTCTAAAAATACTACCTTGAAAATAAGCATGATAAAATGGCTCCTTTTTTCCTTTTTTTTTTTTTCCTGATTCAAGAAAACAATTTGAAATAAATGTTTAAGTTTACGTATTGTTGAGGGATTTTTAAGTGACACAAAAAGCAACCCAGTAAGTGAAGGTATAAGTTATAAGAATTAAAAACCCCTTCGTGTTCAATCCTAATTGTGCCTTTTTTCTTCATATTACATTTATTCATTCAGTTCATTCAACAGGAATATTTATTAGTTTTCCTATGGCTGCGGTAACAAATTAACACTAACTTTTTGACTTAACCCAAATGTATGACCTTATAGTTCTGGAGTAGGAAGTCTAAGACAAAGGTGTCCGCAGGTGGTCTGCATTCCTTCTGAAGTTTCTGAGGGGAGAATCCATTTCCTTGCTCTTTTCAGTTTCCAGAGGCACCTTCCTTGTGTCACTCCAGCCGTTTGCTTGTCATCACCTCTCCTACTTCTGCCTTTGACTTTCTTACCTGTGATGACACAGGGCCCACCTGAATAACCCAGGATAATTTCCTTCTGTTAAAAACTCAGCTGTGCCGAAACCGGTTTGGCTCAGTGGATAGAGCGTCGGCCTGCGGACTGAAGGGTCCCAGGTTCGATTCCGGTCAAGGGCATGTACCTGGGTTGCGGGCACATCCCCGGTGGGGGATGTGCAGGAGGCGGCTGGTCGATGTTTCTCTCTCATCGATGTTTCTGACTCTCTATCTCTCTCCCTTCCTCTCTGTAAAAAATCAATAAAATATATTTTTTAAAAAACAAACAAAAAAAACTCAGCTGAGTAGCAACCCAAATACCATCTGCAACCTTAATTCCCCATTGCCATGTAAAGTAACATATGTACAGGTTCTGGGGATTAGGACATGGACATCGTTGGGGGTGTGGTATTGTTTAGCCTACCGTAAGTACCTACCATGTGCCAGTTGATTCTGTTTTGCTCTGATCACTGACAGCTGGCGATCTATGTTCTCTCCATTGTTCTATTTGAGTGACATAACCAAATTGCTCATATCGAATATCTCCAGACGCACAACAGATACACCATCTGTTCATGCATGTCAGCTAATGAAAGGTACACAGTACCTGATGCCATCACCAAGTTCAGGAGAAGTCGTTCTATTTGAGGCAGTGGCTGTGGGTCAGTATCAAGCTCTCTGTGATGTATCCACAGTGGCCTCTCAATATTGAATGATGCCCTTTTACTTTCTTATTGTAATTCTCTCTCCTCTTACAGGTTAAGTAACACTGACTTTATATAAAAGTTGACCTTTGTTGGCCTCATAAGGATGGGGAATAGGGAAATTTGTGGAATTTATTACCTCAACTGGGACACCTTTTCAAGTCAAAGGAGGCACAACTAATAATTATGCAGGAACAATAGGTATAAAACAATAGGACTGTCCTGGGAACACCAGGCCATGGGTCTCCCTATACATTGGGTCCAAATGAATAATAACAGCCATAAATACTGTGATGATGATAATGTATTGAATACTTCAAATGTTCAAGCACTGCAGTATTACTGTTATTATTATTAATCATCCCGACTTTAGTTTAAGCTAATACCCATAGCTTAAACTGTATTTTCACCAAAATGAACATGGAACTGTTTATTAGAGAACCTAGATTTCACTCAGAAATGTAAATTACAGAAATGTAAATACCCATTTCGCTCAGAAATGTAAATACCCATAGCTTAAGCTAATGATTGCTGTGTTAGGATTTAATTCCAGTTTTGTAAAACGCTACAACAAATGCTTTTTCCATTATGTTGCCTTCCAGAAAAAGTGTAGCTTCTTAGAAATGATTGAATTGCAGTTGTCAGCTGGGTATGGTTGGGCATTTTAAGAATGATGTCGCCCAGCTGGTGTGGCTCAGTGATTGAGCTTCAACCTGTGAACCAGGAGGTCATCATTCGATTCTCAGTCAGGGCACATGCCTGGGTTGCAGGCTTGATCCCCAGTGTGGGGCATACAGGATGCAGCCGATCAATGATTCTCTCGCATCATTGATGTTTCTCTCTCTCTCTCTCTCTCCTTTCCTCTCTGAAATCAATGAAATAAAAATAAAAATAAAAGAATGTTGTGACCTGGGAGAGCTATACAATGTCTTTGTTAGAGGTCTGTGAAAACCAGGAGCCATGATAGATGCTTTTTCTTGATCTTGCCTTCAGGTCTGTCAGTTTGTCGTCTCTGTCAATGGGCTCAACGTGCTGCATGTGGACTACCGGACTGTGAGCAATCTGATTCTGACGGGCCCACGGACCATTGTCATGGAAGTCATGGAGGAGTTAGAGTGCTGAGCAGGTGGCCTTCCTGGCACTTCGAGTGGCTGTGGATGAGCAAAGCCAAAACAACACAACGCAATGCAGTGACAAGACTTCCATGCACATGGATGGCTCTGGACATACAAACCTTTTCTTCGTATAGACACATCTTGATTTGAGTTTCATACACTGTTTTGAATGTGGAAGAACCGGGTAATACATCTTAAAAACAGCAACTTATGTCAGTGTAGAAAATATTTGGGACAGAATTTTCTTAATGGATAGAATTGCTTTACTTGATTTCTGTTGGTAGTTCTCATTCACTGTTTCTTATTTTGATTTGCAGAAAGTTGTTGAAATGTTTCTCTAGCCAAAACAGCAACTCGCTAAAATCTCCTTCGTAGGAGTCAATAGAGGAGTTTTTACAGGCTTTAAACTGTATTCTCACCAAAATGAACATGGAACTGTTTATTAGAGAACCTAGATTTCACTGAGCTCCAAATTAAAGCAACAGTTAAAGGAATAGTACCTGTTAATTAGCATTTTGAAGGAGGATCTAAAGCTTTCAAGAGCTTACAGCCATAAAAAAAAATGGCTTTTTTTTTTTCTGAATTCCTGCCTTTAGTGTCAACTTTAACTCAACATATGTTTTCAACTACAGCATTAGTTAAAAAGCAAAAACTCTGTGATGATATGGGTGCCGTAGATAGGGAGATACTACTTAAACTTATTTGCTCCATTTTCTCTGTCTGAGCCAAAATCATTTGTTCTATCAGCTATAACAGCTTTCTGGAATCAAGGCTGAATGTGTTGAATGTCAAAAACAGAGACATTTGTATATACACATATACTTCAGAATCAAGCCTCTGACAAGATTTCACTTTGAGGGTGTCCCTTTTTTAAGTGAAGTGTTCTAGAACTTGGCCCATATGTGACAAAACTTGAAACTAAATTGCCTTGCTGGCCTGAATCTTTACTAGATTTCTAGTATAACATGACTAAGGACATGACATGCTACTTATTTGGCGGGAATATTTTTCACCAAAAGCAAGTCTTGTGTTGTAACTTTTCAGCTCGCTTGTATATATGCATGTTTCTTTTTTTTGGTGTAGAAAAGAATGTATTTTGGGGCTCGGTGTATAGAGGAAATTCCTCAAAGTGCCAAATTAAGGAGCCAGGGAATGCTGAATTCTTCTTCATTTCATATTAATGCATTCTGAACAATGAGGTTACTTTCTTATTCTGTATTAACAAAATAAAATATGAATGATGTACCTCAGCCATTATTTTGTGATAGGGTATCATAATGTATTGGTACTGGTAGAATCGACATACCATGTTAAAGATGCTACATGTATATGTTTCTGGCAGTCCAACTTTCCTGATCTGTAGTTTTAGAGAATAGGATTTAGAAGTAAGATAGAATGGCTAACATTAATGCTGCCGATCTACATGTGGGAACTATTGTCATCTCCATGCATATGATCATACGTGCGTTTATACTGTATGCCAATCTCTGTGCTATCGCTCTTAACAAATATAACCTCTTTTCATCCTCATCACAACCCTTCCAGACAGATATTAATCATCCTCACCTTGTGGTTGTGGAAACTAAGTATGAGCAAGTTTAAAAATGGTCTCTAAGTTCACCCAGCTGCAAAAACTGCTAAGTGATAGTAGCCTGGATTCAACAACAGGTTTATTTCATGTTAAAGCCCATGTCACCACCCCCAGCCTTTCTCCCTGTAGGGACCTTTGTTGAAGGCTTACTCTGTTCCAGGTGCAGTGCTAAAATTATACAGTGCTAATTCTTACTGACCTGTGAGGTCAATGTCATTACCCCCATTTTACAACTGAGGAAACTGACTCATAAAGAGGTTCATCTTATGCCCAAGGCCACACCACTAGTACGTAGGAGGCCTCACCATTAGGCTTTAAAAAATGTTTATAACGTCGTTAAAGGATGAGTCTTAAATACTTTCTGTCCCTAGGTATTCATTAATTGACAGGAGAAGGACCGCCTTTTGGAAACTGGCATCTTTTTCTTGCCTGCTACTTGTACACGTCCTAATGCCCCTCGTGTTGGCCCAGGCATAGTATCACTTCCCTTTGGCCAATCTAAGCACCAGAGAAGGAAGTGTCTGGCTTTATTTACTCCACACCTGTGAAATTTATTGGATTTGGAGTGTCATTCAATGGGAAGGAAAGAAAGAAGGAAGGGAGGGAGGCAATGAGGGAGGGAGGAGGGAAGGAACTGTTTTCTCCTTTGGCTCTCATCACTCCCAGTTTAAAGGCCAAATGCTAGAGAAGTCTACTTAAGGCTAAGATGGCTTTACCTTAGCCTCCCTCCAGTCCACCTATGACATCCTCACGCTGTAATTAAAGCGAATGCTCCCTCCAGCCTTTGCACCTGCAGTTTCTCTTCCCTGGAATATCCTTCTTTGCCTGAAAAACTCCTCTCTCATTGACTCTCCTTAGCTATTGTCTCCTCTGAGAAACCTTTGCCAGCTCCCTAGATCTGGGATTAACGCCCCTTCTCTAAATTCCCATGGACCCTCGCGCATCAAACTCCTGTAATTCCAGCATTTACTTTGAAATTGTCCCATTACATGTCTGCCTCGCTAACTACACTCTAAGCTTCTGCAGAAAAGGCACTGTGTCTTGTTACCTAGGTATTGCCTTCACCTAGACCAGTCCTGACACAGAGTAGTGTGTCCATTGCTATCCATGTTATCCAACGAACCACCCCCAAACATGCCTTATAGCACTATTTATTTGCTCATGATCTATGGGTTAGCATTTTGGGCAGAGCTCTGCTGGCATGGCCCAGCCACTGCTCCATGTGGTACCGGTTGGGTTTACACCAACATTTGTAGTCAGTGAAGAGTTGATGGGGGGCGGGATGGCTGATCTTGGAAGATCATGCATATGTCTCGCCGTTGGCTGGGGTGCCTCAGTTCCGCTCCATGTGTCCTTCCCCACATGAGATCAAAGCGGGTGAGAATGGAAACTGCCTGACCGTTAGTGGACTTGACTGGAAATCACACAGCATAGCATTTGGTTATTCAAAGCAAGTCACAAAGCTAGCCCAGAGTCAAGAGGCAGGGAAATAACCTCTACCTTTTGATGGAGGAGCTGCAAAGAATTGGTGGCCATTTTTTTCTCCACCAAGAGTAGGTACTTATTCATTATTTTTTGAATAAAGGACCAAGAAATTGCCTAGTCATTGAAAGACTTCAGCTATCCAGATGCAACTTACTGACCAACCTCTGGGTAGAAGTATAATATTAAGTTGTAAATGAAGCCCAGTGCCTAATGAAAACTTCAAAGCCAGAAAATGCTGACATGGTAGTGCTATATGGAGCCGTGGAGAGCACAGTTTAGTCTTCCTGTCCCGTTAATGAGGAAGTAGGTGTGGCATCGTCAGGTGGCATGTCCAAAATCAAGAGGCTTGTTGGGTACAGCGCCTGGGCCAAATACTGGTCTCCTGCCCCCCAATCCTATGTCCTTTCTAGTCTAGTGTTCTGCAGTGTAGGCTTTTAGCTTTGAGGTACTTATAAAATACAAATGGTGCCATGTATCTGTGAAGGTGAGGGGTCTACATTTTAGTTGACTCATGTTGTTAAATCATATCATTAAAAAAATAAGTATTTTGTGTGATGTGTTGACGGTAGAACTGCTTTAACATTTAGAAACTCCATCCTTAAATGTAACACCAAGAATTATTCTCAATTAACAGTGAGCAGTATTTCTAAGAACTTTTATTTTAGCGTATGCATGTGTGTGTGTGTGTGTGTGTGTGTGTGTGTAGCAGTGTTTTGCGTGTGAGGTTTTACTCATTGAGAATCCCTGAAATGGTTTTCTTTGTTCCCAGAGAAAACACTTTTGATATGTCTGTTAATTCTGTTGTAGAGAGAAAATTGCGGTTGCCTTTTGGATGATTCTATTGTCTGATGTTTTATCATTAACCTCTGTTAAATAATAATATAAATTGATCAGGGGACTAGTTGAGAAATGATGGGTAACATGAAGAAGATACCCATGTCTGAGTAGATTAGATGTGATCAACTTCACACCATCTTAAAGGAGAATGTGTTGGAGTGGTAGCAATGAATAATTTAAAAATCATTGCTTTCAGTTCAAAGTGAAATCCCACATTTTCAGATACTCATTCCTTTCAAATATGCTGTGAGAATAATCTACTTTCAAGGCCTATTTTAAACTGGTGATTCTACTGTTCTCTCATGTTGAATATTAATCCCATTCATTTTGTTTATAAATAATCAGAATAACTCTTTTCAGTTTTGCTGATCGGTTAGAGTCTATTGATATCATTGACCATGGTTTTACTCATTTAAGGCAGAATTTAAGGAATAATATGTTTTTCCTCAGTTCAATAGCAACAGGACAAATCTGCAGTGTACCAAAATGAAGATCATCATCAAAGTTAGCTTATGATATTGTCAAATGCATTAATATATGTACTTAATATATATGCTTATTTTTAAATTAGACTGAAATTTATGTTCTCCCTTTATTGAAAATTACAGTATAACACTTAAAATTATAAGGTGAAAATAGCTAGTATAGTATGAAATAAATGTTAATTTTTAAAAACAGTGACTTTAGGGTTTCACTTTTCCTGTCTTTTAGAACAAATTAGCTATTTTTTATTCTAAGAAAGAGTTGCATTATAAAGCTGACAACACATGGGACTCATCTCCAATTCTCTAATGTAGCCAAAAGTGCCATTCGTAAAACTACTTAGTGATGGATATTTTCTGAAGCTCTTTTGCTTGAGGAAAAAAAATGCATTAAAAAGCTTTTTCTGTACTGTATTTGAGTTGAAATCATTTTGTCCCTACACATCCTAGTATTGATGAGTGTTGTGAAATAGTCTATAAGGGAAATGCTATATGATTTTTTGCTACTCTGAGAGAATGTCAGTATTTTTACTTTCAGTGAATTAGAAAATCAGTCACATAATTCATTATGTGTAGGGGCAGGATAAAGTGTGGGGTGAGGGTTTTCTTGGACTACATGTAATATTAACCAAAAGAACTTCACATCTTTCTCATATTTATTCACTTATTTGTTCATTCGAGAAACCTCACTGAGGATTTGTGTTTTGCTGGACACTGCACACAGACCCTGGGAATACAAAACTGAGTGGACATGACCCTGGGTCCAGCTTATCTTGTAAGAATCACCTTTGGGTCTACCTCTGTGCAGAGGGAGGAATATGAAATAATGGTGTGGAAGCAGGTGGTTTAATGTCAGACACAGAACACTGGCAACTTACGTTTAGCTGTATTCTCCTTTCCAGTCTTCCCCCACTTTCCCTTACTCAAGGTGGCCACAGTGGTGAATGTTGAGTTTGCTATTCTCTTCTTCCTTTTGTTCTTAATACTTGTTTAGGGCTTTTAAAATAAACATTCTTAAAAGAGCATCAATTTTTAGATAATGTCCTGGGACTTGCTTGTTTTAATTCAGGATTCTATTACTAAAATTCTTCTAGGTTTTTGTGTATAGTTGTAATTAATTCATTTTTCAAGGCTTCCAAAATTTACAGAACACACATTACTTGTCTTTTTTTTCTTGTAATTAGACAATTGAGTTATTTCCATTGTTGTTGTTGACATAAATGGGGTTACTATGAACAATCTGCACCATCTCCTGGGAACAAGTGGAGGGATTTCTCATAGGAATCCACTTGGGAGAGAAACTGCTGAGTCATGGGAAATGTGAATGCTAACTTTACAAGGTCACAACGGACTAGTTTCCAAAGTGGTTGAACCTACTCTCATCCAATATATAAAAGTAATACATGTTGATCAGTATCTTTTCCAACACATTCTGAGATGTCTTAATTTTTGTCAAATAAATGCCTATTTGGTCAATAACACTGAGAGTCCTAATTTGCTGCAAAGCTCATAAAGCTTAAAGCACAAAAAATGTAAGTAGTAATTTCTGACCCAAACTTACTTTCTGAAACTCTGTCCTACAACAACTTTGTGATTGAGGAAAGGATTCTTGGAAGTCAGTATAACATATTCAAGAACATCCAAAAATAATTTACTAAGCACCTGCTATGGGCCTGTCACAGAGTCTTTGGCAAACAGTAGGAAATAAGACAGGTCTCTGACCTAATAAGTTATATAAATAAAACTAGGGGTGAGTGCTACGAAGTAAAATGAAACCAGATGGGATGGTAGAAAACAGAGTTGTCACATTACTCAGTTCCTATGGGGAGCCATTCCCATTACAGTCTATGTAAACAGTGCCCCCCTGGAGTTAAGCCAGCGGTTCTCAACCTGTGGGCCGCGACCCCTTTGGGGGGTCGAACGACCCTTTCACAGGGGTCGCCTAAGACCATCGGAAAATACATATATAATTGCATATTGTTTTTGTGAGTAATCACTATGCTTTAATTATGTTCAATTTGTAACAATGAAATTGGGGGTCACCACAACATGAGGAACTAAATTAAAGGGTCACGGCATTAGGAAGGTTGAGAACCACTGAGTTAAGCAGTGCAACAGCTCAGAGCAACAGCTCTCTGCAAACCTGATGTTAGGAGTTGAGCCAGCCTTAGAGAAACCTGAAAGGAGAGATTATAAACAGGAAGCAGCGAGCTTAAAGGTACTGAGGCAGGGCACGTCACAGGGGTTAAGAGCATGGGCTCTGGAGGCGTACCGATCTGGATTCAGATCCCAGCTCTAGCACTTAGGAGTACATCCAGTTGTTACTCAACCTCTCTAAACATCTGTTTCCTTATCTGTAAAATGAGAACAATAGTACCTACCCCATTTGCCTACTGTGAGGATTAAATGAGATAATGCATGTAAAATGTTTATCCTTGTGCTTGCCCCTAGTAAATAATAATTGGATGTTTCTCTCCCCCCCCCCCCCCCCCCACTAAACAGAAAGAAAAAAGCACTCTGGGGAAGTTCTGACTTGCCCCCAAACTCACACCAACCAATGTATACCCAGGACTGGAACTCAGGTCCCAGAAATATCTAGTCTGATGCTTTGTTTCAGGACGTTTTTCTGTGCCTTGGTTTTCTCTTTTTTAAATGGTATAACACTCTTACACAACTAATATGAAGATTAATGAGTTTATATATTTAGAGGTCAATACGGTGGCTGCTACATAAGTGCTTCAAAAATTACTATTAAAAACTCTTATTATTACTGCCATACCATGCAAAATTCTGTCATTTTGTAGACCCACACTAATCCATAAAATTGCGTCTATGTATTGTTTCTACATACTTCATCACCAACAATATACCCTTTTGTTGTTTTAGTTGTGATAGACTACATATATCCGATGAAACCCAAAGCACTAATGGGAAAGAATATATGCACCCCCGTGTTCACTGCAGCATTATTTACAATATTCAAGATATGGAGGCGACCCTTATATAAAATGAAATGCTACTTGGCCACAAAAAAGAATGGACTCTTACCTTTTGTGGCAGCCAGGATGGACCTAGATGGACTTATTTTGCTAAGTGAAATAAGTCAGTGAAACAAAATACCATATGATTTCACATATATGTGGAATTTAAAAGAACAAAATGAACAAAATAGAAACAGACTCATAGATATAGAAAACAGACTGTTTGTTGCCAGAGGAGAGAAGGGTTGGAGGGCTGAGTGAAAAGGGTGAAGGGATTAAGAAGCAGAAACTGGTACTTACAGAATAATCACAGGGATGCAAAGTACAACACAGGGAAATAGTCACTAATATTGTAATAAATATGTATGGGGCCAGGTGGGTATCTGAAATATAAAGTATATGATTTGTACTTTGTAAAGTATATGATTCTCTGACCACTATGCTGTACACCTGAAATTAATACAGAATAATATTGAATTCAACTGTAATTGAAAGAAAAGTCATAGACTAGATACTGGAAGGGTTAGAAAAAAATATATATGATCCACTCTATGTTTTATTATGTATATTAAAAGAAATCACCTATGCCAGTGATGGTGAACCTATGACACCCGTGTCAGAGTTAACACGTGAACTCATTTTTTTGGTTGATTTTTTTTTTTGTTAAATGGCATTTAAATATTTAAAATAAATATCAAAAATATGTCTTTGGTTTACTATGGTTGCAAATATCAAAAAATTTCTATATGTGACACAGCACCAGAGTTAAGTTAGGGTTTTTCAAAATGCTGACACGCCGAGCTCAAAAGGTTCGCCATCACTGACCTATGCTGTCACTTTTGCTATATTCCTCGGGTACTGAGGAGCAAGGAGATTCAAAGGTTGGTCAGAAATATAGCTGTGGATTTGTGGCTGTAAGTTGAGAGGGAGAGCAAAAATAATTTTGCATTGGATCCTTACGTTATTAGCTACCTAGCTTTTGAAACTGAAAGTTACATGTAAATAACTTACCAAACACAATCTTTAAAACTCAAGATTTCATAGGAAATAATTTCACAAAACTGCAAAATAGCATCTGTTTACTCCCTGGTCAGGCTCCCCCAGCAGTTTTACAGCCTGTTAAGAAAGCAATAAAAGTAATCCGTTGTTGTGCTTTCTCTCCCATGGCAAACTGTAGTTCTCAGGTATATTGGAGACTTAGCCTTGATTATAAAGGAGTCTCTTTCCTGAGCACACTTTAATTGAGACATCATTCCATTTGTCTTTTGTGGGAAGCTTCCTAAGTCTAGAGGTTTAGGAGACTCATGCTGGAGTTGCGTCAGCAAAACCACCACCCTGCGCTTCTGTTAGCACAGGCAGAGTGGGGGCACAGGCTGCTGCTTGCCTTGTGCGTCTGATCAATGTACTGAGCAAGGAGAAAGCTCTGTAAAGAACTTGGCCGAGGTGGCTCCTGTTCTTACATCCGGGACTTGGTGACTCTCTTCCTTTGCCTGTCTCTCTGCCTATGTGACTTTCTCTCTTTGCCTCCCGGGACTCCGGATCTTGTTTTAAATGCCCTTTGCTCCCTTGGGGTTAACTATTAAACTTGTTTCTTCCTGAAGTCTGAAATGCTTGGGTCCAGAAAGGATGATTCAGAATAGCAACTTTACGAAGGTGGCTTGTGACACTTTCCCAGGTCCAGTGGAGGGGGTGGGACGTGGGCTGATAGGACAGGGAGGAGGAGAAAGGAAGAGAGAGGGAGGACCTCTGTTCTGTTACCCCCACTTTGAAAATGTGTATCCCCGTGTAGCCAAAATAGTGCGCTGAGCCCAGATTTTAAAGCATCTGGGTGTTTTTGCCTCTGGGAAAGGTGAAGAAGTTTGGCAAGGACTATGTGACATGGAAACGTGGTTAGTTAATTATTAAGCAGGGAGATTGCCAGGTCTGGTGTTTATCAGCAAAAAGGGAGGGAAACAGTGCTGTGAGCTTTAAGGAAGATTGGAATCCATGAATGTCAGACCAGCCCATCTGTTAGACAAAGAGCCACTGTTTTTTTTTTCAGGTTTTCGTTCAGTCAGGCTGAGCTACATCAGTGTGAAAAACTGTTTCCGGGGCTTTCCTTGCTTGGCATGGAATGGGAGGAGGTAATTTACTCTCTTATTTTTAAAATACACCTTGTTTCTCATCACCAGCCATGACAACCCTCTCATTGATTTCTCTACACACTTAAGTCCGTCTTCTTTGCTTTCCTGCTTCCTCTGAGAACTGGCTCACCCAGACTCCATACACTCCCATCTTAGTACAGACATGGAAACAGAAGCATGAAATCGGAGACTTGGTTGTTTTTTTTCCAGCTGTGAGAGACCTTGTACACTTGCTGGTTCACTTTGTCATTTTATGGATCAAGAAAGAGTCTTAGAAAAACTAATAATAATAATAATAATAATAA